GTGTTGTTAGTGTGTTGTCAGTGTTGTTAGTGTGTTGTCAGTGTTGTTAGTGTGTTGTCAGTGTTGTTAGTGTGTTGTTAGTGTGTTGTTAGTGTGTTGTCAGTGTTGTTAGTGTGTTGTCAGTGTTGTTAGTGTGTTGTCAGTGTTGTTAGTGTGTTGTCAGTGTTGTTAGTGTGTTGTTAGTGTGTTGTTAGTGTGTTGTCAGTGTTGTTAGTGTGTTGTCAGTGTTGTTAGTGTGTTGTCAGTGTTGTTAGTGTGTTGTCAGTGTTGTTAGTGTGTTGTTAGTGTGTTGTTAGTGTGTTGTCAGTGTTGTTAGTGTGTTGTCAGTGTTGTTAGTGTGTTGTCAGTGTTGTTAGTGTGTTGTTAGTGTTGTTAGTGTGTTGTCAGTGTTGTTAGTGTGTTGTCAACTTGGGATACATTTTGTTTACACTCTTAATTTTGGTTTACATGAGATATATATTGTTTACACCTTTGAATATGTTGTTTAAAGCTATTGTTTTGTTTACACCCTTAAGTGTGTTGTTTAAGTAAGCTATTTCTTTGTTTACACCCTTGAGTTTGTTGTTTATGTGGGATATATTTTGTTTACACCTTTAAATCTGTTGTTTAAAGATATTGTTTTGTTTGCATCTTGAAGCTTGTTGTTTATGCTCCCCTAAAAAATAAAAATAGCGACAGTGAGAGAGATATATATTCCTCAGTTTGTTTTTCTTTCACCAAAATGTGTACAGAATGCTGCCTGTTATTATAACCGGGTGACGATTTGCTCAAAGGAAATGACTCAAAATAACTCGATGACAATTTTTTTCAATACGATGCAAATTCTCTTTATTAACTTGTTATAGTCCACGTGTCTCTCTCATTAAATAACTCAAGATGGTGTGTGTGTGTTTGTTCAGCTTAATATACTCTTATGTTTTTGTTGTAGTTGTTGATGTTGTAGCTGCTGTTGTTGTTGTTTTAGTCGTCGTCGACACACAACCCGTCACATTTTCGTGGTTGATCGTGGCAACCTTGTCCTCACCTATGGCAGACCTCACACTACTGAAGAGATGTTGCTCTTTTAATACCAATATTCACTCAAACACCACCAGAATCTATAAGACACTGTGTATACGTTTCTGACACACACTCTGGTAGATGCAAAACACAATACTGACATTATGAGGAATCGAGTCTCGTTCCTCCTTTAAAATTAATGGATTATATTGGTAAGTTGGCTGACATCTTTATTGACTGTGGCTTCCAATATCTGTACCTTTGTGTTAAGGTTCTGTTTAGATTTCCTTTATTTACAACAGAACCTGGGAGTCTTATTATCTGTTGAATCACATGGGGAATTATTATCATTTGTTTGGGGTGTTTTTATTTAGCGTCGATATAGTGGTGATTTACCGTCGTTTTAGAGTATTATTAAATAGGCTTGTATATATTGTGGGGGAAAATTTATCTTGTAATTTATTTGGTTTTTTGGAAGGGAAATGTACTTCAGACTGTGTTATAAAATGTTTATCAAATGATGCAGACAGATGTAGAGTTTTTGTGGATTTACAAGGAGCATTTGATAAAGCTCACAGTGAAGTAGTTATGAATGAACTGGCTGCTCTAGGGGTATCAGGAAAGTTGTTACACTGGATAGGTGACTACTTGCATGGAAGAAGAATCTGTGTATGGTATCAGGGATGTTTGTCTGAGGAAAGAGCACTTGAACTAGGCACTCCCCAAGGGGGAGTATTGAGTCCAATGTTATTTAATGTGTTAATGAACAAGATAGCCTCACACAAATATCCCAAAGGAGTTGTAACCATCATTTATGCAGATGACATCTTATTTCAAGGAAACTCTTTAAAAAATTTGCAGATTGCATTAAATAATTTTATTGTTCTTTCGCAAAAGATGGGCTTAGTTATCAATGAAGAAAAAACCAAGTGTGAATGTAAAGGAAGAGGAACTGAATCCGTTTTCTAAATGGAAAAATTGTTGAGAAAGTGTCAAAGTATAAATATTTAGGAATGTAAATTGGCTTTACTAGTGAAAGTAAAGAGGCAGAAATATATCATGTCCTCACTCAATGTAGAGCAAGATTACAGCCCTTGAAGGCTCTAGCATGTTGTGGTAAAGGTGCTGGGGTACCCATACTGAGAATGATGTATATTTCTACCATCAGATCACTTATAGACTATGCAGCACCTGTCCTCTCTTGTACTGGTGAAGGAAGGCTACGGAAGCTTGAGATCATGTAAAATGAAGCAATGAGAATAATTTTAGGGTGTCAAAAGAATGCAATGATTGAGATAATGAAAATGGAACTAGGGTTACAGAGCATTTCACAGAGGGTCAATGAAATTAATACAGTTGCAGCAGTTCGATTAATGAGAGGGAACAGTGGGGGTAAATTTGTACAAGATATAAATGATGGTTTAAAAGGTAAACGGACCTTCTGTAGGCAAGGCAAGGGAGGATGCATGAATGGATTAGTAAATATTATTAAAAAATGTAATCTGGCAGACTGGTGTACAGCTGTTCAGAAGAGTTGTAAGAATCCACCCTGGGAAGAACGTGAAGTAGAGTTAGACATAGTGCCTCTCACAATGAAGAAATTATTACATGAACCAGGACAGTTAAGGGCTTTATATGGGAATAAGATTAGTAATTTGCCTAAAATAAACACATTGCATGTATATTGTGACGGTTCAGTTATGTCAAGTGGCAGGGCAGGGTGCGGGATCCTTATAAGACAGTACACAGAACAAGGGAATGATGACATCAAAATTGGACTTCGGTTGAGCAGTTTTATTTCATCAACACAAGCTGAGTTACATGCAATCTTAGTAGGGTTGGAAAATGTTGTAAATGTGTATAAAGATGCATATTTTTTGTTGATAGTAGGGCAGCTTTGGATTCTTTGAACAGTGGGAGTCCAGTCTTTGAACACATTATTGGTTCATGTAGAAAATTAGTAAATACAATAAGGAAAAATGGCCATAATGTTCAATTTGTATGGGTCCCTTCACATGTGGGGATTGGTCTTAATGAAGCAGTAAATATAATAGCAAAAAGAGCCACGGAAAAGGCCGAGATCGACATAATATGTACTAAAACCTTGAAACAATTAAGGAGCAAATTACGGAAAAATACAATCAATAGAAGATAATTTCAAAAGGAATGAAATATACGAGAAAAGGGAAACAATGAAACATTACCATCATGTTCTCATGAACACAAAATTTACATATGGGAAAGATAGGAGTAGGTGGAAAGATTCAGTGTATATGAGGTTAAGATTAGGATATAAATATTATTGGGAACTTGGAGCTGAGAGAAGTGAACAGGATAAAGAATGTAGAGTTTGTAGAACACCCAGATCCCATACCCTGCCACATTATATACTGGAATGCCCATTGCTTAATGTATATAGAAATGCCCATATAAATAATGTCCCCATGCAAATAGAGTGGATGTATAAAAATACGAAAATAGATGATATATTAAAGAAATATAGAAATTTTTCATCTAGAATATAACTATGTATGTATATAACTGATTATATGAAATATTAGGGATTTATGTGAGACCTGAGAGGGACATTCCTGGATTGGGGTGGGGATGACTTATGTCACTTCATCCCTTTGAGATGTATTAATGTTTTTTGTATCTCAATAAACGTATCAATCAATCTGTACCTAGACATGCAGACTAGATTTTTCTGATGGCTTGTGATGAGTTAGGAACGATTTAGACCTTCAATCCTATCATAAATAACTAGTTTTCTCAGTCACGTGATGTTTTAGCAACTTTAACCCTTATTTTGTAGAGTTTTGGTCCCAATTTATTTAAAAATATAATTAACATCGTGAATTTAAGCGTTTTCCTTACCCATTGATATGCCATCTTATGAAAAAAAGTCCAAGGTTGTGCTGTTGAAGGTTTGAGTTAGGGGAATGTTGAAGTCAGGCGGACAAGGAATCGGAAGCAATGTTTACCTGTCGTTTGAGTTTTGTTTTTCGTTTCGTTCAGATATGCTGTGGGAAGGTGAGAGATAGTGTGTGCTTTATAGCTCTCTCTCTCTCTCTCTCTCTCTCTCTCTCTCTCTCTCTCTCTCTCTCTCTCTCTCTCTCTCTCTCTCTCTCTCTCTCTCTCTCTCTCTCTCTCTCTCTCACTTTCTCTCTCCTCTTTTTTTTTTTTTTTTTTTTTTTTTTTTTTTTTTTTAAGTAATACGGTGAACTTGGGGCCTAAATTTTTTTCTTCAACTGATGATTTCTCGGAATTCTCGGAGGAGGTGTGGTAGTGATGGCCGGTCAGTGCGGCGCTTGGCCATGGCCTTCTTGGCGAGTTTTGTGACCTCTGGATGGTCCCCTGGGGCCTCCTTGATCAATTCCATCAGGACAAACCCGAAAGAATATGTATCTGAATTCTTGGTGGTCCTAAACCCACGGCAGACTTCAGGAGCCATCCAGGGGAAGTCCTCGTGTAGGCAATCAGCGCTGACTTTACAAGACTTACCGATCTCACAGGCCAGACCGAGGTCAATGAGGCTGACCTCTGGCCGGGATGAGGGCCCTTGGATCATTATGTTATCCTCCTTGATGTCATTGTGTGCTAGACCTTTCATGTTCATCTCAAGGATTTTCTCACCAAGGAGGAGCCCCAGTTGTATAAGGTCATATTGGCAGATCAGGTTATCTTCAGAGAGAAGGTGGTTGAGTGTGAGCTTACCCCTGAAGGACTGGAGGATCGCTGGAGGTTTTGGACAGTACCCAAGTACCTTAGGAATCCCCCCAGCACCATCGAGGGCATACATCTTGGCAGCCTCATCCTTGAAGAATTTTTTGGCTGATGGTGACACTGCCTTTTTCAAAACAGCTACATCATTTCCCCACTTGACAAGGTAAGCAATTGCGTGCGCTCCCTCCCCAAGAATTTCCGCTCCGTCTTGTAGGAGGTCAGTCACGTCCTCAGGGAGAAGCTCACACACCCAATCTTGGAAGTTTTCTGTTTTTCGGCAAGCCATTTTTAATTATCTGTATCGACTCAGCCTTCACCAGGACATCAAATTATTATTTGGGGGTTAGATGCGTTTTTGAGGCGCTGAAGTGATAGTTGTTGTGCAATGAAGTGAAGAGGTGCCTTATAGTATAGTGAAGAGGTGCCTCATAGTGTAGTGAAGATGTGTAGTGAAGATGTGCCTCATAGTGTAGTGAAGTAGGTGTAGTGAAGATGTGCCTGATAGTGTAGTGAAGAGGTGCCTAAAAGTGTAGTGAAGATGTGTAGTGAAGATGTGCCTGATAGTGTAGTGAAGTAGTTGTAGTGAAGATGTGCCTGATAGTGTAGTGAAGTAGTTGTAGTGATGATGTGCCTGATAGTGTAGTGAAGTAGTTGTAGTGAAGATGTGCCTGATAGTGTAGTGAAGTAGTTGTAGTGAAGATGTGCCTGATAGTGTAGTGAAGTAGTTGTAGTGAAGATGTGCCTGATAGTGTAGTGAAGTAGTTGTAGTGAAGACGTGCCTGATAGTGTAGTGAAGTAGTTGTAGTGAAGATGTGCCTGATAGTGTAGTGAAGTAGTTGTAGTGAAGATGTTCCTGATAGTGTAGTGAAGTAGTTGTAGTGTAGATGTGCCTGATAGTGTAGTGAAGTAGTTGTAGTGAAGATGTGCCTGATAGTGTAGTGAAGATGTGCCTGATAGTGTAGTGAAGTAGTTGTAGTGAAGATGTGCCTGATAGTGTAGTGAAGTAGTTGTAGTGAAGATGTGCCTGATAGTGTAGTGAAGATGTGCCTGATAGTGTAGTGAAGATGTGCCTGATAGTGTAGTGAAGTAGTTGTAGTGAAGATGTGCCTAATAGTGTTTTTTTTTACGGGGATTAGCCCACCCGGACACAGGTCACTGACCCACATCGGGGCCTGGGGGGTCGAAAATGTAATAATAATAATAATAATAGTAATAATATTAATAATAATGATAATAGTTATAATAATAATAATAATAATAAATAATAGTCATAATAATTCATAATAAATAAAATTTATGATAAAACAAACAAAATCAATTAATAAAATAATGATGATAATAATACAGTAACTGTAATAATAATAATATTAATAATAAAGAACTATAAATACAAAAATGAATAAAAAGATCAAAAGTGAGAAACAATATATGTATGTTGTATTGTCAAAGTAAGAGAAACAACTGAGACCCTGCAATTGTGTGAAAATGAAGCAGAAAGTCAGATCATCAACGTAGGACTTGGTCACATATGGCAGCAGGGTCTACCATTAGACAACACATTATGCTGCCAATATCTTCCCAGGCGGTAGTACCTCCCTGTTTGGTAACTGCCTACTACCTACTACCTGTAATGAAGTAGTTGTAGTGAAGATGTGCCTAATACACCTTTTCACATATCCGTCGAGACATTGTTTTATAACTATTTGACAAATTTCATAACCGAATGACACAACACATATCGAATGACAATCTAAAATAACTGTTGGTGGTCTGTCATTCTCCAATTGTTACATTCTCAAACTCTATGTAGACTGTCGGTTTATTGTTCACGGCTGTCAACTTCATAACTTACGTCAATTACTTCTGTCAGCATGAACCAACAGTTATTTTAGAGTGTCATTCGATATGTGTTCTGTCATTCGGTTATGGAACAATGTCTCGACGGATATGATGAAAAGGTGTATTTTCATTATTTCGTCATTATTTCATCCCTTTTCGTCATTTATCGTGACATCGTACTATTTCGTCACTTATCGTACTATTTCGTTACTTATCGTCAGTATTTCGTCCTTTATCATCAAATATCGTCACTATTTCGTCACATATCATCAATAATCGTAACTAATCGTCACTATATCGTTACATATCATCAATTATCGTCACTAATCGTCACTTTTCGTCACTTATCAATTATCGTCACTATTTCGTCACCACTCGTCACTTTTTCGTCACTTAGGGATACTTTTAGAAACGTATGGAAAATATCTTATCTCTTTTTGAATGATGGTGTGTGTGTGTGTGTGTGTGTGATAGGCAGAGAAAGAGAGTGAGAGAGAGTTCTTCTTCTTCTTCTTCTTCTTCTTCTTCTTTTTCTTCTTCTTCTTCTTCTTCTTCTTCTTCTTCTTCTTCTTCTTCGCCTCCTCCTCCTCCTCCTTAACCCCTCCTCTCTTCCCCCTCCTCCTCCTCTTCCTATCTTCTCTGGTAACCCCTCCTCCGCCTCCTCGACAAATCCGTTTTCTCTAAAAAATTAATTGAGAAACAAAGAAAACGTTTATTTATGGGTAACTACAGTATACACCCCTACAGTATACACCACTACAGTATACACCACTACAGTATACACCACTACAGTATACACCACTACAGTATACACCACTACAGTATACACCCCTACAGTATACACCCCTACAGTATACACCCCTACAGTCTACACCACTACAGTATACACCCCTACAGTATACACCACTACAGTATACACCACTACAGTATACACCACTACAGTATACACCACCACAGTATACACCACTACAGTATACACCCCTACAGTATACACCACTACAGTATACACCCCTACAGTATACACCACTACAGTATACACCACTACAGTATACACCACTACAGTATACACCCCTACAGTATACACCACTACAGTATACACCCCTACAGTATACACCACTACAGTATACACCCCTACAGTATACACCACTACCCCAGTATACACACACAGTATACACCCTAAAGTATACACCCTACAGTATACACCACTACAGTATACCCTACAGTATGCACCCTAAAAGTATACACCTACAGTATACACCCTACAGTATACACCTACAGTATACACCACTATAGTATACACCACTACAGTATACACCACTACAGTATACACCACTACAGTATACACCCCTACAGTATACACCACTACACTATACACCCCTACAGTCTACACCCCTACAGTATACACCACTACAGTATACACCCCTACAATATACACCCCTACAGTATACACCACTACAGTATACACCACTACAGTAATTACTTTGCTTAATGACCCAGCCAAACCTAGTTAAATGACCTTGTTCTTGTGTAGTGGTGGTAGTGGTGGTGGTAGTGGTGGTAGTAGTGGTGGTAGTAGTGGTGGTGGTAGTAGTGTTGGTAGTGGTAGTAGTAGTGGTGGTAGTAGTGGTGGTAGTAGTGGTGGTAGTGGTGGTGGTAGTGGTGGTGGTAGTGGTG